TCCCCCATCCCTCACCACAACCCACTCCATGTATTATTTGGATGCATATCCATACATTGATGCATGACGATCCATCTGTAGATTTCTGCATCAGTGTGAAATATTCTTAGGTCAACTCTGGCCTATGCAGAACTCAGCCAATAGCCAGGAGCCATGAACCTTGCTTGACCCAATACATGCATATTTTATGCCTACATTTTAAATTGTGTTTACATGCATTTGATTTTCTATTCGAATGTATGCGTTCATTATAGTTTGTTTGTGTGTATGTAATGTTTGTGTGCTTGCATGTGGCATGTGAACATGTGAGCGTGTGTGTGCGTGTGTGTGTATGAGTTACTGTTCTCAGTGTGTGGCAGAAGAAGGTCCTCAGCATGTCAGTATGTTTTAATGCCTCACATCTGGTTTCCTAATTTTCCTCCCCTAAACCCCCCCACTATGTCAGGACACTGTTTTGTTTTTCCAGGATGGGGGGCGATGGGGAGGATGTCTGACATCAACATTCCCCCCTCTCTCCCTCTCGTTCTCTTTTTGTCTCTCCCTCTCTTCTTCTCTCTCACTCTTTCAACCTTGTCTTTCCCCACCACCTATCCACACCTTTCCTCTCTACTTCCTTCAGTCCCTCCGCCTGTCGTCTAAATACTGATAGAAGGAAGATCATGCTCCTGACCTGTCACTCCATCTGTTGTCTTCAGCATGTCCTTCGCATTCCGTGAAGGAAGCCGACTTACGGAAGGGAAAGGCCTTGAAGAAGTCTTCCTTCAAGAATCATTCCTCCGGATTACGGTGAAGTGATTCCTTAATTCATTCCTTCCTTCCTCCTCTCCTTCTCACTTCCTTCCTTCCTCCTCCTTCCTTCCTTCTTTCCTTCCCTTCCGCTGTGGCTATGTTGTTGCCTTATAGCGAACAGAGACTCTCCCACCCTGCCAGACTAAATATCTCAATTTTAGTCCTTTCTCTCTGTCTTTCATAGTTCAAATCCCTCCCAAGTCTTTTATTGAAATATGATTATGTCATCATTAATGCAGCTGTCTGAAACCAGAGGACTAGTCTCACATGAGAAGGACTGATGTCCCACAGAAAGACAAGGCTGCAGGAACTGGTCTAGTTGTGTGGCAGCATCATATGACCTCTATGAAGCCTGTAATAAATCTATGTATCATAGCGTAAAGATCTATTGACACTGATACAGCTTTGTGTCTAATCAGCATAGATAGAGAGTGATGTGTTGTGTCTCTGTGACATGGCAGTTCATGTCAGTAGTAATTAAGGTTGATAAATGCCAATAAAAGTTATTGTTAGGGGTCCTGTGCAGCTTTTGTTCTAGCAGTATGATTAAGGCCATATGTAAAGGCTTAGCTACGTGTAACAGATGCCTCAGATAGGACTGACTGAGGCTGAACGTGGTCTGACGGCAAGTCAATGCATAGGTGAACATGTAGGAATAAAACAATTACAGACTTAAGTTTGTAACTTTGCTGTTACTGCAGTGTCATGACTTACTCTTTATTTTTTTTGAACTCGTTTTAGTTAAGCAAGTTGTCACCCTGCGGATTGCTTGCCCCACACTGTGAGGCCTGTGTTTAGTCTTGGGAACTGAAGCAGATGCAGACAAAGGGGATCTGGAGGCCTTGACAGAGATACAGAGGGGAAGACTGAGGGGGAAAAAGACTCCCCATGGAGCCAGTGTGGAAATTGATCCCAAGGCTTAAGACTTGGGCCTACCTTTTGTTTGTGTTTCCTAGTCAGGGTCTCTGAGGAGGGTAGTGGGGAACACCAGTTGGAGGGGTTATAGCTTGATGACAACTGCACAACTCCTAAAATATTAAACTGGCATCTCAACTAGTTACAAAAAGTTACCCCTTTCCGAAAAAAATAATTTCCAAATTAAATAGTGATCGAATGGAAAATATGATCGAATGGAAAATAAATTCCAGTGACTGTGTATGTTTATGGAATAACCACTTTGAGTATGAGAGGCAGAGCTGCTAAAACATACCTCTGAGTCTAATCTACAGTGTAGCTAATAGAGTTCTCCTTTGAAAGTGGACCTTCCTCCGCTCACACAGTTTCCTTCTGACATCCAGATCAATGTTTTCCAAGTCCTCCTCCTCTTTAGCCTATGGGTGGGAAGGTGTGTGGGCGTATTACATTACCAAAACAAAAACAAACAACGCCGATATTAAACTTTTGCGACCACAATAGAGGTGAAAAACAGAGGGTCCTCGACTTCTTATTAATTATGCAAGATTAGTCTAATTATAATTCAGCAAATGAATGTGTGGCAGAAGGTGCGAGGCGATGAGGCTGGGAGATTTGCATGTTAAGTGAGCAGGGGGAAGTGGCTAATGCATGCTAATATATGCACCAACGTCTCGCTTTAATTTCAGCATTTGCAGCTGTGTGCGTCCGAACTGAGGGGAGTGAAAAGTTGACTGAATGTGGTTTGGGGGGACAGAGGTGGTGGTGGTGGTGGTGGTGGTGGTGGTGGTGTTACACAAATAAACACAGTGAGGGAATGATGGGTGAAAGTCAGAAGAAGGAGCAACCAATGCACACTGACCAATGGGGATGTCGGCATAGAACATGTCCTAACTCACAGAGGGTCGTCGCTACATGTCCAGTGTGTCCTTAATCCCTTCTGTGATGTCACCAATGTGACTGGTTGAAGTGAGCGGTCATTGCTGGCTGGGTGCACTTGAAGTGGCCAGAGAACCAAAGAGCAGGTGGCCGGGCAGGGAGAGGAGGGTGTCTGGGACAGAGCAGGGCCATGGCCACAGTCATTTAGCCCAACAAAGGAGCCCGCGGTAATGTTGTCATAAATTACTTTGCAAAGTCTCTTTATGGGAGTTCCCACATGAATTTGAAGCAAATTAATATAATGTTCCCCATCATATATCAGGGTAGACGTCACATACTGAAGGATCCTGAAGTGCACTGTTTAAAAGAAGTGGAAAACAGCAGAACATAATCCAATATATCCCTCATCAGCAGATATGAAGCCAACTGGATTCAAACACTGAGCATAACACACTGTAACATATCATATAAATCATGACAGCATGATAGATACTGTACAGAGAGAGGAGAGAGAGAGGGAAGGGAGGGAGGGGGAGTGAGGGTGCGAAAGATGGAGAGAGGGAGGGAGAGAGAGAAGGAGGGGGGGGGAGTGAGGGAGGGAGAGAGAGATGGGGATTGGGATAGAAAGAGGAGGAAGTCGTTAGAGGGAGGGAGAGGCTAGGTGACCTTTTGTACACATCCACCCGGAGCCCAACTGTAGTGGAGCGGAGAGGTTGGAGGTCCGAGCTCTCACTGATAAATCATAATCACCCTCCGCCAACAACAATATTGATTGTCCTCCACTGAAATAGCTCAAATCAAGAAATATTGGACACTGTTTTGGAAGCAAGCGATCGTTCTGAGCAAGGGCCTGTTCACAAGGGAGGAGGGGAGGAGGTGATGGAAGAAGAGAGAGAAAGCAGCTGAGAGAGGGAAGGAGAGATTACTATTGAATGGGAGGGTCCTGGGCTGCGGAGCCAATACGAAGTCCCTCTCCAAACAAACTCTATCCATTAACATGACTTATATTTGCAGTGTGCACAAAGTGGGTGGGATTGGATAGCTAGCTGACCAGCTCCTGCTTCTCTCTCTCCCCATCATTTCTCCTCATCAATGTTGTTATTTGTTTAATTTCAGCGTTGGGTGTGTCAGTGAAATTGAGGCCAAATTTGTGGCTAAAATGACAAAGCATCTGATCCACGGACACACATATACCAGTTGTCCTGATCTCACCATGTCCCATTTCACTCCCATTCTCTTTTTCTCTTCAGACCATTTCTTAACTCCCTCTCCCCTGCCTCCTCTCCATCTCCCCTGCCTCCTCTCCCTCTCCCCTGCCTCCTCTCCATCTCCCCTGCCTCCTCTCCATCTCCCCTGCCTCCTCTCCATCCCCTCCCCTGCCTCTCTCCATCTCCCACCTCTCTTTATCCCCCCCCCTCTCTCTCTCTCTCTCTCTCCTCTCTCTCTCTTCTCTCTCTCTCTCTCTCTCTCTCTCTCTCTCTCTCTCTCTCTCACTCTCTCGGAATGTGTGTTCCTTGTGGTTGCCTTCTCATTCCCATCTCTCTCTTTCCCTATCAGCGTGGGGACTTTGGGATTGCGGCAGAGCTATGTTGCCATGGCAGCGGGCTGTGTTGCCGAACTGTGTACACCTGGGATTTGGAGTCTCTCCCTCTCCTCCCCCCCTCTCCCCATCTTATTTTCAGTCTCTCCAGCTCTCGCTCCCTCTCTCTGCTCTTCTCTGCTCTAGTGGAGGCTATCAGCACCCCTCTCTCTCTCTTTCTACAATCTGATACTCTCTCTCACTCTCTCACTCACATCACACACACACACACACACACACACACACACACACACACACACACACACACACACACACACACACAGTTAATGCACACACACACACACAAACCTCATTCAAACATGCACATGTGCACACGTACATACAAATACTCTGTCTCTATCCTTCTCCTCCTTTCACTTTCTCTTTAGTTGTCTTTCTCTCTTCCACCACTGTTCCCATGTGGGGCTTCAAATACAGCATGGTGGGATACCATGTTCCCCAGAGTCCCCTGGCATACATCATTGTCTCCTGTTCACTTTGAAACACAGCAGCAGTTTTCACTGGACTGCATTTCAAATTCTCATCATTTGATTTAAAGTGTAATAACATTGACTCTAATGCTAAACTAAACCGCAGTGATTAATGCCAGGGCAGATATCACCCAGCAGATATCACGCCCCCCCCCCCCCCCCCCCCCCCCCCCCCACACACACACACACACTCACTCTCAGATGTTCATAATGCTTATCTATGACCGGAACAGTAATCAGCATCTTCTTGACTGACAGGCCAACAAATAATGAATGCATTGTTCATGTTATGTTTTCCTGTCTATTGAGTTAATGATTTTGTCCTGTTTTTGTTCTCTTACCCCTGCAGGTTCTTCTTGAAGTTTTTCTTGAAGTGTAACCAGAATTGTCTGAAGACAGCAGGAAACCCAAGGGACATGAGGAGATTTCAGGTATGGAGAGTAGGAGAGAGAGAGAGAAAGAGAGAAAGAGAGAGAGGGGTTTGTGTATGTGTGAGAGAGGGAGAACGTGTGTGCAGCATACATGATGTTGAAAATAGCCATTTTATGGTTATCTAAAATAAAATAAAAACTATCCCACCTTTCCTCCCACTCTACTTTCACAAAGAGGGAATTATTTCGTTCAGGGTCTGCCCAGGTATAGTTGGAATCACATTTCTCCATACCGTAGCCTGAAGCACTGCTTGGACGTTTTCCAATGGAAGGAATGGAGGGGAAAGTTAAAGGTGAAAGTAAAAAATCTACAGTGAAACAAAGAGGGAGAGATGGAAAGAGAAGGGAAAAGGGTGTACTGGGGGGGGGGGGGGGGGGGGACAAGGGGGGAAGGCGGCAGGAAGAAATAGGGTGAGGTGTTTCAGGAAGTTGTCAAGAATTGAGTGATTGGCTCAGATGGGGGAGGTCATGCTCAGTGACCAAGGAAGTGGTCACAGGGGGACAACCGCTTCACTTCCTCTGGCGTTTCAAGAACCGGAGCCCAAGGGTGGCCAGGGGATAGCGAGCTCCCTTTTCGTTTTTTGTTGGGGGGTGGGGAAGGAAAAATAAGGAAGGAAGGGAAGGGGAAACTCCCGTTACCCTTTTGGGGGGGGAAGGGGGCCCGGGCGGGGGGAAACTTTTTGGGGGTGTCCGTTGGTTTTTTTTAGGGGAGGGGGGGGGGGGCCGGGAGGGAGGGCGGGACCCAAGGAGGGGGGCGGAGGGGGAAGGGGTCTTTTTTCCCCTTTTTCTCTTCTCTTTTTTTTTCTTTCTTCCTTTTTTCTTCTCTCCGGATTCTTGCCCCCCCCCTTATTTTCCCTGTCCCACCTTTTTTTTTAAATCCTGCGCTTAGCAGCGGAAGTTAGGCGGGCGGCCGCCCCGAGGCCCCCCGGGGAAAAGGCGATTAGCGCTGGAAAAGGAGCCCGGTTTATGCGTTGATCGAAAATTACTGTTATTTCCATAGATCCCCACCCCCCCAGTCAACCACTACAAGCACATCTGATTTCTCTCTTTTCTTTCCTTTTTTGCGTTTTGTCCCGAGTTCTTAAAATTTTAGCCGCGATTTTTGAAAATTTTTTTTATCTTTCTTAAAACCCTTTTTTTTTGTAAGCTTATTTAAAAATTAAATTAGTCTTTAGCACCAAAAACAAACCCGCCCATACACCCCTTAGTTTAAACCCTTTTAAAACCCCGGGGCCAAAACACACAGACCCAAAGGGGAAAAAACCCAAAAAAATTTTGAGAGCCCCATGGTGAAAGAAATCCTTGGGAAAAAACCCCAAAAAATTTTTGGGACAGTCAATTGGGCCCACCCAAATACCTAAATTTTGGCCAGTAAAAAAATCACCAAGCTTGGGGGGAAGGGGGGAAGGGGGGGCCCCCGGGGGGAGACCAAAATAAAAATTAGGAGGGGAAAGGGGGGAAAAAAAGGGAGGAAGAAGGGGGGGGGGGATTTTGGAAAAAAAAAAGGGGATCAAACCTTTAGAAAAATACCCGGATGTTGAAAAAATTTCCGGGGTTTTCAGGCCTTCCCCCAAAAATGAAATAACCGGGGTTTAGTTTCCCAATAAAATCCCCCGGGGTCCCTCCCCCGTTTTTAGGGGGCCGCCCGATTTTAGGAGAAGGCCATTCGCCGGCACAAACAGGTTTTAAAAAAACTCCCAAAAAGGGGAAGGAACCCGCGGGTACTGGGGTCGTGGGGGGAAAAAAACCCCTAAGAAGGAAAAACTACCCAAAAGGGGGGTTTAAAATCAGGGAAAAAACATCCCGAAAATTTGGTTTCAATCTTGAAAACACTTTGGGACAAAAATTTAAAAAAGGGGTTTTTAAAATAATTTTAGTTATTGATACTCGACGGTAACCCAAAAACTAGGGGGGAAATGAAAAGCCCAAAACATTGCCCGGATGGAGGAAAATTTAAAAGCGATGTTTTGCCCCCCCTTAAAAACTCGCCCCAAAGGGGGGGGGAACCCGGGGGAACCCCCCATTGGGGGGAAATTCTTTAAAATATGGTGTTTTACCCCCGGGGAAAAGGGGGAAAGGGGGCCCGTCTGTCTCTTTAAAAAAAAACTCATTTAATTTTTCTGATTAAAACATGGGAAGGAGCAAAAGCTATCTTTCTATTAGAAAAAAAATTTTTGGCCCTTCATGTTCAAAAAGTGTTTTTTTCCCCCCTCTTGAAAAAAGGCCCCGGTCACCCCCCCCTGGGGGTTTTTTACCCCCCGTTACAGGGGCCCCCTGAAAGGTAACCCCTGTTTTTTTTTTTTTTTTTCCCCGGGGGCCCCACCCTTTACAAAAAAACTTTTTCCGGGGCAACCAAAAACTTTCCAAGGGAAAACAATCAAAAACCCAGAAAATTTTTTTGAAACCATCCAAAACCCTTTGAAAAGAAAACGGGGAAAAGGCCCAAACGAAATGGGTTAAAAGTAGGTTTGTTAAAAACATGAAAAACCAAAAAGTCCCCCAAAAGGTTTCAAAGGGGATTTCGCCCGGGGACCTGAAAAAGGGGGCCCGGGTGAAATTGAAAACAAACAAAATTTCGTTTTAAAAAATCCCCCTTTTCATAAAGTAAACCTTGAACAAGAGGATTTTTTTGTTGGTGAGGAACGTGGAAAAGCGACTGGGGCCTGTGGCCCCCCCCGCCCGGTAGGGGGTGGTCCACCCGCATGAATAACCCTTTAAAACTTCATTGGGGGGGGGCGGGTTGGAAAGTAGAAAAAAAATTTGAAAAAGGGTCTTTGGGCCCTGTTGTGAAGCGTTGGAAAACGAACCCCCCTAAGGGTCCAGTTTTTCCCGTGGCATCCAGTGGCTCGCACTCCCAGTGGGTTGTGATCACCGCCCATGCCGTGTCCAACCCTCCACATCATCTTTAATCTAAACAGTTCTGCAAGGGGGCACCTGGACGCTTCATCTACACAGGTAAACACACACCTCCTATTAACCCCCCAGCCACATCTACCCTATCCAGCAACCATTCACCAACAACATATTAAACAGCACCATTACATGGGATAAGTCATGAGTCATGACCTAGTGCTGATGTATTTGTGTATGTGTTTGTGTATAGCGCTGAATGAGCCCACCATAGACTACGGTTTCCAGAGGCTTCAAAAGGTCATTCCCAGACACCCTGGTGACCCTGACAAACTGGCCAAGGTGAGTGAGAACATACCACACATAGTGAGATGATGTACATGCCATATGTCACCACACCTCACCTTTGTACATAAAGTACACACTATGTAACACCAGAGGCTAATGCATGTCTCTCTGTCTGTGTGTAGGAGATGCTACTGAAGAGAGCAGCTGATCTGGTAGAAGCCTTGTATGGAAACCCACACAGTAATCAGGTAACCAGCACTGTTTAGTCCCTCCGTTCCTCTAATAATTCCACTCATCAATAACTACTGTTCATCTGTGAGGTCTGGGTTAGTAACAGTTTGTATTGTCTCTCTTTAGGACATGTTGCTGAAGCGTGCAGCGGACATCGCAGAGGCCCTGTACAGTGTTCCCCGTCCCCACAGCCAGCTGCAGGCCCTGCCCAGCTCCCCAGCCCATGGCAGTGTCATGGGCCTGGGCTCATACCCCTCCCAGCTGGGGGTCAGCATCGGCGAGCCAGGACAAACCAGCCAGGGTGAGCAGGACTAGACCTACAATGGGATTCCCTGTATTTATAGAAGTCTGGCCCTTTGATTTTCTTCTAGTTGGTGATATGATATCCCCAGTGGGAAAATCACTTGTATCTTCCTGTCTTTTCCTATCCTCTGTCTTTCTTGTTCTAACACTTTGTATCTCTCTCTCTCTTTGTTTCTCTCTCTCTCGCTCCAGGTTATATTCGTAACTCCAGCAGTTTGTCCCCACGGGGGTACCCCTCTGCCTCCACCCCTCAGCAGTCAGGCTATGGGGGTGGTGGAGGCATGAGTGGGGGGTACGGGGCAGTGCCCATGACTAGTCTGGGGGTGCCAGGGTCCCCTGGTTTCAGCAGTGCCTCCCCCACTGGTTCTCCCTATGGCAGTGAGTGTCTCTCCTCTTACTCAATCAATCTATCCTGTGTTTTCTTCCTGTCCCTGTTACAATAAAACATAATAGCCCATTATTGACAAAGGTTGACCAGTGCCTAGAATGCTTCTGTTATAAAGTAACAACTGTTATCATCTCTCTCTCTCTCTCTCTCTCTCTCTCTCTCTCTCTCTCTCTCTCTCTCTCTCTCTCTCTCTCTCTCTCTCTCTCTCTCTCTCTCTCTCTCTCTCTCTCTCTCTCTCTCTCTCTCTCTCTCTCTCTCTCTCTCTCTCTCATCCACAGTAATGCCATCTAGTCCCACTATCCCGGGTTCCAGCTCCTCCTCCCTCCTGCCGTTCTCCTCCTTCCCGTCCTCAGCCAAACAGAAGAGCGCCTTCGCTCCTGTCCTCCGGCCCCAGGGCTCCTCCTCTCCTGCCTGTCCTGCCTCAGGAGTCAACAGCTTCAGAGGTAGAACCAAACTACAATCTTAGAAACATCTCGTTGTTTGTTAAAAAAATAAAACTATTTCTGTATAAAAACTAATCCATGCCCAAATACACATAGCTTAGGCAGGCATGACAATACAATATGTCTGGCTTTTTTTGGGGTTATAATAATGATTGCCATTGTCAAGAATAAGATTTTATCTAAAACATAATAGATTATTACTATTCTCTTTCTCTATAGCGATGACTGGCCTGGTAGTTCCCCCGATGTAGCAGCACTCCACCAACTCCCATCCATCACCTACAAACCAGACCAGACCACTGCTCCAACACTGCTACTCCTCTGCAGGCACTGACAGGGATAAATGGAACACACATTGATTTCTTGACCACCAACAACTATCCTCACTGATGCTCTGCCACTTGTTGAGTCCATGTTTCATCCAACTGAATGAAAGGGATGGGGACAGAAAGAGTCCAAAGACCAGCCAGTCACTCCAGAAGCAGAGAGAAAAAGACCTCTTCATCTGCAGTAGCTGTAAAGACATGAGACTTCCTTGGGCCACACCACAACACAATGGAGATCTATGGGTGTCTCTGCATTTTGAAAGGACAGCAGAAGTCAACGTCAAGATGCCTTCACGAGCTTCAAAAGCACTCGTACCACCCAATGCTACAGCCGTATGCAGCATTTGGTTCTTCCAACAAAAACACCTAACCTAAACGGATCAACCTCTTGGCTAGCAGTGTGCTAGAAGAACATTTCTGTTGATGATTCGTTGTTAGAGCACTGAACTGAATGGACAATGGACAACTCTGATACTATGTGCTGAAACTCTATGAAGCAGGGTGCTATTTGTCTCTGTCAGGACACTGTCAAAGGCATGTATGTACATTATCCCTGAGAAGACTCAGAGATTTTGAAGGTGATTTACATTCCGGAATGATAGACCCTTTATTTTTTGTTCTGATCGCCTAGATTTTACAAGGGCAAACTCTTTGTCCTCCAGGGTTGGTAATACAAAATTAATTCATATATTGATTTATTTAAGAAGAAAAAAACAAGCAATTTAACTTATTATTATAGTTACTTTAGGGAATAATATAAACATGTTTTAATTCCTTTTTTGCAATTGTTATAAATATGATTATGTTATCTCTATGTTGCCATTATTATTTTTTAATTGAAATCTTTGAGGTTTTGTCAGACATGACTGATGATTAATACGTTTATTTGAAATAAATTATTGCCCAATACTTTTTCCTGGGTTGTCACATAACAAAATAGAAGTGTTAAGTCCAGTGTCAAAAAAAGCAAATGATCTTGCTGTTCTCTATAAAGGAAAATTAGTTAGGCTATATTATTATTCATTTCATTTTTATGTATGTTCTTTCCACACTGATTCCCTGATATTATTTCATTCCATGTTGCAAATTTGAAATTGTATGTCAAAGATTAGGATTTTTATTGTTGATTAATTTGATGTTTTTCATCCCACAGTCTCTGGTCACTATGCAGTAAAGCAAGCACAAACTGAAAACATATTGGGGATTTGTCATAAACCCATGCAACAGTTTTCTTACTCACTGTTGTAACACAATACAAACATCATACTCAGGATTAGAAATTACATAATTAAAAAGAGGTAGCTGACATCTATTCAAAGTTGTTTGTAGTGTTTTACTGGTTTTATTTATTTGAAAGCCGTTAGTAAAATGTAAGGTTACTCAAAGTTTTTTTTCCCCAAAAGCCATCTTTCTTTTTTAATGGTACAGAATAACATGATGACTGTCTGAAAATGTGATTTGTATATCTTAAGCTGTAATTATATTTTGTCCTCCCAAATAAAACAAATAAATCACAGCAAGAACTCACTGTTGATAATAATTCAGAACTGAAATATGAGGAAAGTGTGTGTTTTCATTATGCAATTAGACATGGTATAGAAATGTACAGATATCCACAGTACAGTATATAAGTGAGGTATTGCTATATACAGCATTATGGTAATATTTCAAGACCACACCAGGACTATTTTTTTACTCACCTGTATGCTTGTGTAGTTTGACACACTGCTTTCTGTATACATAGCTGATGAGGCGCAGCATCTTAATTGTGGAGTGAGCGTTGCAGACTGTAGCTACTGCCTTTAAAGATAAACAACATCTCCCATCACTCTCCTCTCCTCCTCTCCAGCAGCAAACCTGCTGATTCCTCTACGGACCAGGCCTCTGGGGGCCCCACTAAGAACCACATGAGCCTCTCCTCCCTCGCTCTCTCTGGCGTGTGCCCTCTTTCTCTCCCTCTCTCTCGCTACCCTGCCATTACTTCTTTCACTTTTTGTTTCAATCCCCTTTCATCCCTTCTTTATTTCTCTCCTGCTCCCTCTCTCCCTCAGTAATGGCTTCTCTCTGTTAATGTAATTAGCACTGGTAAAAGAGGGCAGTTAATTACCAGCTCTTTTTTGATGGGGTAATTAATGTTATGCCAGGAAACAGCAACTGTTTCATTAACACAGCGCTCAAAGCAGTGAGGGGGTGGGGCAGTGCTGAGTGTATGCATGTCCATATGTGCATCATTGTGTGTGGTTGTGTACTACACGTCTGCGTGTACACTATAGTAGGGTATATACACTGAGTATATACACTATACTCTTTCCATTACATAGACTGACCAGGTGAAAGCTACGATCCTTTATTGATGTCACTTGTTAAATCCACTTCAATCAATGTAGATGAAGGGGAGGAGACAGGTTAAAGAAGGATTTTTAAGCCTTCAGACAATTGGATTGTGTATGTGTGCCATTCAGAGGGTGAATGTGCAAGACAAAAGATTTAAGTGCCTTTGAACGGGGTATGGTAGTAGGTGCCAGGCACACTGGTTTGAGTGTGTCAAGAACTGCAGCGCTGCTGGATTTTTCACGCTAAAAAGTTTCCCTTGTGTTTCAAGAATGGTCCACCACCCAAAGGACATCCAGACAACTTGACACAACTGTGGGAAGCATTGGAGTCAACATGAGCCAGCATCCCTGTGGAATGCTTTCGACACCTTGTAGAGTCCATGCCTCAACAAATTGAGGCTGTTCTGAGGGCAAAAGGGGGTGCAACTCAATATTAGGAAGTTGTTCTTAATGTTTTGTACACTCAGTGTAGATAACTATGCTCAGGGATGGAGTCATATAGAGGTATTGACTTTAAAAAGCAGCGCTGCTCTCCCTTTTAGATGTAGCTTTTTGTTCGATTTCTTTGTCACCATCAAGTGGCACTTGACAAAGAAGTCAAAGCTGCTACCGATCCCTCTCTCTCTCTTTCTCTTTCTCTCTCTCCCTTTCTACCTCTCTCTCCCCTCTCTCTATACCTCTCTCTTCCTTTCTACCTCTTTCTCCCTCTTTCTCTCTCTCCCTTTCAACCCCCCCCTCTCTTTTTCTCTCGCTTTACTCCTCTCTCTCCCTTTCTTTCTCTCTCACTGTAAACGTGCTGCTAATTTGACAAGTTAAAGTCAGCTTTGTTGTCAGCACCTCAGCATTCATCCCACTGAGTGCTCCTTCTGCCCAGTGGTACAGGAGCCATACGCTTTCTGACTGTTTAGTTGTTTTGGCTGCTGCATCACACGCCCCATTTCACTGTCTTCAGATCACACATTCCATTAAGGAAGGACGTTACACCGCCTGCCACCATTTCACTGTCTTCAGATCACACATTCCATTAAGGAAGGACGTTACACCGCCTGCCACCATTTCACTGTCTTCAGATCACACATTCCATTAAGGAAGGACGTTACACCGCCTGCCATCAAGCACTTCTCACAGACTTACGCAATCTCTTATTATAAGCAGCATCACCATTTTTATGCCTTAAATGTAAAAGCAATACAAAGAAATGTATGATGTTTTAATATGAATTCCTTCGTCTTGTAGCAAGATAGAATAGAAAATATAGAGAAAAAGAAAAGTAAAGAGCATATAAGACAAAAATCCATCCCCCCTTTCTCTCAAGGGATGTGTTTGTGTTTATTTACCCAACTAGCCCTCTGGTCACAGCATGGTCCGGCATTAGGCTGACATTAGCTCAGAGTGTGTGCAGTTTGTGCAGCGTGTGTGTGTGTGTCCATCCCCTTCTCATTTGAATCTTAGATGCCAGCTAAAGGCAGTCTGAGATAGGACTTGAGAGAGGGACTGTTTGGGCAAATAGATGTGTAGATTGGCTCAACCTTTGGCCAATCACCAAATCCTGTATTGTTGTCCATTAGACCACTGGACCCCCTTTCCTTTTTCCAAAATGAACCCCCCACCCCTCCATCCCCATTCCCTTGGGTGTCAGTAGAGTGGGGTGACAGATGGGATAGACAGAGAGCTGCCCCATGAGACAACCTCCCCAACAAAACACACACACACCAACACCCCCACCCCCTCCACACACACAGACCTCATCTGTCTGTCCTATGCTTTTGTTCACTATGGAAAAGTGTGCTCTGTGAACACAGAGTGACGCCTCTGCCCCTCTGTCTCATTCTCTCTGTGTGTGTGTTGTGTGTGTTTGTGTGTGTGTGTGTGTGTGTGCGTGCGTGTGTGTGTGCACGTGCATGTGTGTGTGTGTGTGTGCGGTTGTGTGTTGAATGACATATGCAGAGTATACGTTTATTATCTACTGTTTATTATATGTCACTTTATTCCTAGTTATATGTACATATCTACCTCAATTACCTCGTACCCCTGCACATCGACTCGGTACTGGTACCCCGTGTATATAGCCATGCTATCATTACTCATTATGTATTTATTATTACTTTTATTATTACTGGTTTTACTTTTCTATTATTTCTCTATTTTCTTTCTCTCTGCATTGTTGGGAAGGGCCCATAAGTAAGCATTTCACTGTTAGTCTACACCTGTTGTTTACGAAGCATGTGACAAATGAATTAGATTTGATTGATTTGATTTAAAGTGTGGGGTGAATGATTCTCAGATGAAGCCAGATGTACTCAATCATCGTATTCAGAACTGTATGTAGTGTACACACGGTGCCGTATGGTACCTCATAATGATGCTTGCCTACTGTGTGGAGGAGAGGACCCAGATGTGAAGGTTTTATTTCTGGACACCTCAGAAACGACATCTGACCTAAAAACACATGGGAAGATACAATTATAGGTTGCCAAAGTTGATTTAAAGTATGGACACTAAATGTGCTTTTTATGGCAAACATTCCAACATGTCATTGTAGCCCAAGTAGAAAACTGAGCATGTAAAGTGTGGGTCCCATGTTTCATGAGCTGAAATAAAAGAGGCCAGACATTTTCCATACGCACAAAAAGCTTATTTCTCTCAAATTTGGGGCACACATTTTTTTACATCCCTGTTATTGAGCATTTCTCCTTTGCCAAGATAACCCATCCACCTGACAGGTGTAGCATATCAAGAAGCTGATTAAACAGCATGATCATTACACAGGTGCACCTTGTGCTGGGGACAGTAAAAGGCAACTCTAAAATGTGCAGTTTTGCCACACAACACAATGCCACAGATGTCTCAAGTTTTGAGGGAGCGTGCAATTGGGATGCTGACTGCAGGAATGTCCACCAGAGCTGTTGCCAGATAATTGAATGTTAATTTCTCTACCATAAGCCTCCAACGTTGTTTTAGAGAATTTGGCAGTATGTCCAACCGGCCTCACATCCACAGACCACGTGTATGGTGTTGTCTGGGCCAGCGGTTTGCTGATGTCAACATTGTGAACAGAGTGCCCCATGGTGGCGGTGGGGTTATGGTATGGGCATGCATAAACTACGGACAACGAACACAATTGCATTTTATCAATGGCAATTTGAAGACACAGAGATAGCGGAATGAGATCCTGAGGCCCATTGTCGTGCCATTCATCCACCGCCATCACCTCATGTTTCAGCATGATAATGCACGGCCCCATGCCGCAAGGATCTGTACACAATTCCTGGAAGCTGAAAATGTCCCAGTTCTTCCATGGCCTGCATACTCACCAGACATGTCACCCATTGAGCATGTTTGGGATGCTCTGGATCGACGTGAACGACAGCGTGTTCCAGTTCCCGCCAATATCCAGCAACTTCGCACAGCCATTA